ATTTAGAAATTAAAAATTTCGTAGATAACAGGAGTGCCAGGCACTACAGCGAACTGTTGGCTGGGACCCGGACAAGGATCTATAGCTGGTGTTTGACCATTATAATTACCACGGCATCCGCTAGGGTACCAGGATGAGGCGGAACCATTAAAATTAGACTGAGCATATACTTCATAAAGAGTTGCTCCACCACAGGCAGCACTGAACACCATACTGGCAGAAGCCGGCACTATCATAGTAACTACCTGGATAGGGGTACAGAATACCGGGGCACCGGTACAGGCAGCATTGGCATCATCAAAGTATACACGCACTTCTTTGTCTTCACAGGTGCTATTAATTACCTGAATAGTACTTTGAGCAAAAGAACTGAAAGCGAAAAGGCAAAATATTGCCGAGTAGAATAGAGTTTTCATAGTGAGTTTTTAAATTACACCTCTAACTTATGTAATATTATTCTTGCTTTCAAGTCTTTATTATCAATTTGAATGTCAGCAACTTATTTAAGAGAAGTGCGTAAAAAAACCGATTCTGTATTCAGATAATCACCTTATATAATATAACAGTTTTAGCCAGGGCCACTATGAGTTTAGAGTACTTAAGGCTTATGAATGGAATTATGTGCGTACCTCAGGATAATGCCGTATATATTTTCGTATTGCGCAAAAAGACGGTGCACTAGGATTGATAGATCAACTCAAGGAGATCTTCTCCCGGTAGTGGCTACCCACCTTAACCGGCCTCCGCAGCATTTTGCTGCGGGGGTGGTTAGGTTTGAAAGGTTTTAATTATTGATCTCAAAGTCGGTAGGTGATAACGGGTAGATTTGATAGTTGCCACCACAATCTTCGTTACCTCCATTATCTGCACCACAACCGGTGAGGTAATGGTTTGCAGAAGTACCGGTACCAAAGGTTTGTGCAAAGATGCGGTACGCATATTCCTGGTTGCATGGAACCGTGAATACCATGTTCCCTCCGGAGGGAACCGTTTGGTTTACCACTGAGGATGTTACACAGGCATAACCATTGGCACAATCGTGGGTGGGGTCGTCAAAATACACGGTTACATTCATGTCAGTACACAAATTGTTTTGCACCGTTATACTGTTCACCTGAGCAGAGGTAGCAATACCGCATAGAGTAAATGCAAAGAGTAGAATCAGAGTTCTCATAAAATAGAATTTTGGTTAAATGAAATTTTAAGATAGGGCATTGTGTGACCGTTGTCAAGAGTTACGTAAAGTTATGGCCCTGAGAATTATACTGTTTTGAGAGAAGCAAAAGTAGAGGTGTGTAAATGGAGCGATCAACGGTTTAATACAGCCTAAAGGCTAAAAATCAACCAAAAAACACATCCTGAAGCTTCGAATTTATTAAAATTGAAAGCGATGAAAATAACATCCAAAGACTTAAAAAAAATAAACTTTCCGGAAGGTTCGGCCTTTGGGATGGCCTTAAAGCCGCATACCCAGTACAGCAAAAAAGTGTACCTGGAAACCCTGCAAAAAGTGGCGAAAAACCCGGAGGAATACCTGGAAGATGAGAGCCTGGGAGCTATTGCTAATGCATTAGTGGAAGAAGCTAAAGAACCCATCGCTATGCGTGAAAAGCACCTGGATTTCAAGATATACGGAGAAGAGCATATTGAGCAGGGTGCCATGCACCAGATGTATACCGCCATGAAACTACCGGTAGCGGATTCCGGGGCTTTGATGCCGGACGCCCACCAGGGTTATGGTTTACCGATCGGGGGTGTACTGGCTACCAAAAACTCCGTGATTCCGTATGGAGTGGGGGTGGACATTGGCTGCCGTATGTGCTTATCCATTTACGATATGCCGAAAGAGCGCTTACAAACCGATAAAGAAGTTTTGAAGAAAATGCTGAGTAACAATACGCGTTTCGGCAGCGCTTCTTTTCAGCGCAGTATGGACCATGAGATCTTTGAGCGTGATGAGTTCAGGGAACTGGAAGTGGTGAAAAACCTGAAAGACCGTGCCTGGCGGCAGATCGGTTCCTCCGGTGGGGGTAACCACTTTGTAGAGTTCGGGGTGGTACGTATCACCGAAGAAGAGAACGAGTTCAATCTTCCGCCTGGTAGTTATATGGGTTTGTTGTCCCATTCCGGTTCACGGGGGCTGGGTGCTAACATTGCCCGCCATTACACCAACCTGGCTATGGCCACCACCAAATTGCCGCAGGAAGCACGTCACCTGGCCTGGCTGGATATGGATACCGATGCCGGTAAGGAATACTGGGCGGCCATGAATTTGGCCGGTGATTACGCTTCGGCCTGTCACCACCAGATCCACGAACGTATGGCGATAGGTTTGCACACCACACCACTTACCAGGGTGGAGAACCACCATAACTTTGCCTGGAAGGAAAAGAACGTCCAGGGCGAAGAGGTAATTGTACACCGTAAAGGCGCCACACCGGCCGGTGAAGGGGTGCTGGGGATCATTCCCGGTTCCATGACGGCTCCGGGTTATATTGTGCGGGGGCGTGGTATTGCCCATTCCATTAACTCCGCTTCGCACGGGGCGGGGCGGGTGATGAGCCGTACCCAGGCTAAGAAAACCCTGGATGAAACTGGGGTGAGCCGCCACCTGAAGGATCATGGGGTGGAAGTATTGGGCTCTGGCCTGGACGAGGCACCCATGGCCTATAAGGACATCAACACGGTGATGAACAGCCAGCGGGAGCTGGTGGAGATCCTCGGATCTTTTACGCCTAAAATTGTGCGGATGTGCGGGGATAAGCGGTTTAAGGAGGTGGACTAAAATAGGAGCGCAGGATTCATAACCCTGCGCTAGTTTGATTATGCAGTACTAAAAGTTTTTCAGTGCAGGTTTGGGATTGAGACCCTTGGTGACATACACGATAAATAAGAAATTGGGCTTTCCCGCACATACTTATTGGCCGATTAGCGAATTGTGAAATCCTGAATAAAATAACGCCAACTGAGTCGTTTAAACTGGAAAAGGCTCTAGATTCAAGAAATGATTCTATGGCTTTTACTTTGGTGTTCTTTAAAAACTTATTCTTTTCACTGTCTAGTCGGCAATCATCTAAAATTATGATAACTAAATAAACCCGTGAAAAACCAAACCTGATGGTACCATTTGCCTGAACTACACCCTTTTTGAGTTTATTAGCTCGGTTCGTAGTGGAAGATTCATTTATCAGAGATTCTGCTGTAACAGTTTTAACCTGACATGCAACTGCATCACTAAGAGTATGTTCGTTATAAATTATAAAATCAATGTCTCCTGGTTTAGTCGCTGATGAATTAGTAAAAGGTTCGGTTACCTCGGTCATTAGGCCAATTGGCCTGTTTTCAAAAAGATGCTCTGAAAATAACTGTTTACAGTGAAAATTATGTTTAATAAAATCAACAGCTTGTTTCTCAGTAAATTTTGAAATACTATCATAATTGGTTTGCTCGTCATCAATAAAAAGTGGAATCCTGTTACCTTTGAGTTTAACAGGGATAATATTCCAACTTATAAAGCGCCATGTAGCTTTCATAAGAGGAAGATCGTGTCTTTTGAGGAACCCACCTTAACACCATTTCAGACAACCATTTTGGGTAATATTATCCAAAATGGTTGTTAATCGATATTCTTCCTGGCATACTTGTACTCAAAGCATTTGTAAATAATGGGTTAAATCCCTTATTTAGAAGCCTGCTAAATCTTAACCTATGAATGCAGCCATTACCCTTACCGAATATTGTCAATCAGGACCAACTGCTTAAAGTGATCCACGATGGTAAGGCATTGGTTACTCTCACCCCTGATTGCTTTAATGATGGTATACTTGATCAACTTTTAAGTCAATTAGATTCCCTTGTGTTTAACCTGAATCGTGTTCAGACGAAGGTGTTGGCGCAATGGATCAAAGTATCGGGCTTGAAACTCTGAATAGCGACTAAAATTTAAAATCTGCTGAAGCAGGTTTTAAATTTACCGAAGGATTTGCATAATTATCCCCATTTTTGGAAAAATGGAAACCATAGCCCTGATTCTTTTTGTACCCGCACTTTTAGTGTTGCTATACTTTGGTGGACGTGATTTTTTCCGGGAACTAAAAGCCGGCCGTGTAGCCAGTGAAAAGTTCTGGGTAATCCTTAGTATTCCGGTACTTATCTTTTTGACTATAAAAGTCAGTTTTACAGAAATAACGGGGCCTGGATGGTCATCAGAAAGTGTAAAGCGCTTTTTTTCGGTAGGGGTGGCCGGGCTAATTTCCTTTTTCTGGATACTCTATCTCACCTGGCTTGATCTCTATGAGAGAGAGAAAAAGCGCTACCTGATCCTTGTTTTTGTATTGGGCTGCATCTTTACATTTTTGGTTTTCCCGGTATCCGGAATAGTGAATATGCTGGGTTTTAACCTGAACGGAAACGGATGGAATGACTTTCTGTATTGCATCTTTGGGATCGGTACGGTAGAGGAAATTGCCAAATTCATTCCCTGGTTTATTATGTGGCGCTTTAGCCGACAACTGGATGAACCTTTCGATTTTATACTTTATGCGTCTATAAGTGCTCTCGGCTTTGCCTTTATTGAGAATGTAATGTATCTCTACCGTTCGGATCTTACAGCAGTTTATACCCGTGCTTTATACAGCAGTGTAGCACATATGTTTTTCTCATCTATAATAGCCTACGGTTGGATGTGGTGGGAATATCGTGGTCACCGTTTCAACTTAGGTACCTTTCTGGTTCTTCTAATGCTCGCTTCCCTGGGGCATGGTTTTTATGATTTCTGGCTGATTCGTTATGACCTGAAATTGCAATTGATAACCCTGTTGTTCTTCCTGCTTAATCTCCACTTTTGGGTAATGATGAAGAACAACCTTATCAATATTTCAGGCTTTTATAATCCTGTATTGAAGCTGCGTTCACACCTTTTTATGTATCGCCTGGTGAGTTTGCTGCTGATTGTACTTATAGTATCAATGGTAGGTTACAACATTCTTTTTGGCCAGGAAGCTACCCGCAATTTCGGCTGGTATATACTTAGCCAATACAGCTATGTTTTTGTGTACGTTACTGTTTCATTCAGCAGTTTTCAGATAATTCCGGGCTACATAGGTTCTTTTAAGTGGCCGGGTAACGTAATATCATTACTGCTCCCTAAAATAATTTATCATCCGGATTATACCGGATATCAGATTCAATTGGACAGAAGAGGACGAAGGGCCACCGGCAGCGATTCTGTTTTAAATTACCTGGCCGGTACTCAAAAGCAACTGCAACATAGGGTGGTCATTGACGGTTTGCCCAACTGTTATGGTATACAGGTGAACCAACAGATATATGTAGTTCAATTTATTAAAGAGCATCCCCGTCAGGAAAATGTATGGCAGGTAATGGTGTTTAAGGCAAAGGAGGCTACTTTAGAAAGTAAATCCTATTTTAAGAGTATTGAGCTCAGCCGGCAGGGGGAGATGCTGGTGCGAATTCTCATACCTGAATAAAATACTTAGCACGCTCATTTCTTAAGCAGTCGGAACTTTTAAGACAATGAGAAAATTTACTTAAAGATCAAACGGTACCGGGTGCGGATAAGCTTTCCACCTAACTTCTACGGATATATTCTAATATTTCCAGGTGTTTTTCAATACACAGGTTTTAAGTTGTTTAGAGTAAATACTTATAAGAAAAAGTATTATAAACCACTTTCTAAATAAGAACCAGCCTTTATCAAATAGTACTCTACCGTATTCAAAAATTCTAAAAATCAAGCGTTAATCTTAATAGTTTAGGGGTAATGGCGGATACCGAAAAGCCATAACAGAGTAGGTATTTTAAAACTCAATATCTCATGAAACAAATGAACAAACTATGGATTAACCTGGCGTTAAAAGCAAGGATTGTTTCAGTTATCTGCATTTTTAGCATGTTCTCATTTTCAGCTAATGCACAATTTATGCAAGATGCCTGTTTGCCGGACTGTCCCAACGAAAAATTTATAGGACCTTTTTCCATTGTATTGGAAATATGCCCGGGTCATTTCTTTAATGTAGAATATGGCTACAGAAATGCATGTAACATTTGGTACGATTACTATATCGGAGATGAGATTACCCCAGCAGGCGGAACGTCCAGCACCGATTTTTACAACTGTATCAATAGCGTAGGTGGAATGAATGAGTTTATTCGCTTAGTAAGTGAGCAGCTTATTATTGCCAACCCGGCTGCATTTCCTCCAACTAATCCGGGAGGCTGTGAAACGCATTGGAGAGTCCTCAAAGGTTCGTGCTGGAGAGGCGACATAGTATTAGGTGTAGGGGAACAACCTCAATCCGGTCCTTATACCAGCGGACCGAACTATATTGATATTATATGGCCATGCACCACCTCGGATTGCTGCCTGGAGCGGTTTACGGTTTGTATGGGACAGGACAGCACCCTGAATATTACTAACACCGGTTACCTGCCGCCTGAATTCCCCGATTGCAACGGTCAGAACGATCCATGGAGCATAGGAACTATTTTTGAATGTATTCCGGTTTGTGGATCAATATATAATCGATAAATAAAAGAAGTTATGAAGTATATTTTATTATTACTCAGCTTCGGTTTTTGTTCTTCCACTGCCTTATACGCCCAGGATGTAAGAATAGACTACCCCTATGGCCTGACTAAAATCAGTTCAGACAATGGGAAAACCTGGACGGTAAAAAAGCAGAAAAAAGTTATTTTCCATTATCCCTTTGGTATAAAAAAAACCAGCCTGGACAATGGAAAGTCATGGACAACAAGTTCCTTTGGTCAGGTTACCTTTATTTATCCGGACTATTTGCGTAAAACCAGTTTGGATAAGGGTAAAAACTGGGTTATTGAAGAAAGTCAGGGTCCGCAAGTCTCATACTTAAATGTGTTTCCTAACCCGGCAGGAGCGTTTACGCGTATTGATCTCAACGGTTATGGTAAACAGAGCAATGCACCTGAACTATTTACGCTAAGCGGCCAATATGTAGACCTTCCAACCGGATCTTATACTCAAGAAGATGGGCTATACTATCTCAATACAAATAGTCTTCAAAAGGGGTATTATTTTTTACGTTTTAAAAACGAAAAAGGTCATATGAGTGCTAAAATTCAAGTATTGCATTAAATTTTTCGTAAAGTATTTTATGTTATAAGGTCCGGAAAATCAGTAACAGGGTTTGCCGGACCTTTGTTTTCCAGATATATCCTTTCACGCTTAGAATAGAGTGCACTTGTTTTAGCAGCTTTATTCCGCTAAATTTAGTACAAAGCTTAGATATATCTCCGTCATGAAAATGCAAAACCGTTACTCTGAAAAATATACTCTTACTGCTCTGATCGTAGATGATGAAGAGTATAGCCGGATGAACCTCTCACTTCTCCTGCAAAAGCATTGCCCTCAAATCCAGGTTTCAGGTTTTGCCTGTGATATCAATGAAGCTCAAAGCGCAATTGAAGCTATTCGTCCTGAGGTGATTTTTTTAGACGTGCAAATGCCGGGCGGGTGTGGGTTTGATCTTTTACAAAATTATACGGATTACCCCTTCGAAGTAGTGATTGTAACTGCTTATCCGGATTATGGCATACGGGCGGTAAAATCGGGAGCCCTTGATTATATTCTCAAACCCATCCGGGCTGTGGAGCTGACCACTGCCGTTCAGCGGGCCTGGAAGATAAGGCTGAAAAAGAGGCAGTGGAACTCTTTAGGCGTGGAAGAGTCCCGTAAAATAGCAGTATCCCATAGCAAGGGCGTGTCCTTGATCTGTAAAAAGGATATTG